AAGTTGTTGGAATTTGTCTGGTTTCTGTTTTTTATTTATTTGAAGAGCTGCTTTGGTTTGTACTATCTTCTGGCGTTTTGAGTATTTTATCAGTCTATTATTTATGATTATTTTACTCAAAAGTTAATAGGCTTTTTTTTAAACCCTTAATAGGTTATTTGTTTGCAAGAATTTAATATTTAGAATAATTTAATTTAAGGGGCTGTTTGTTAGCGATAGTAGAACAGTGATTTACGCAGTTTTTAAGCTTAAATCCCGTGTCAAATCCTACGGTCTCTTAAATCCTGTTTCCCCCCGTTCCACTGTAAATCCCTGATCTACTAAATCCGGTAGGTTGGCGAATTTACGGGGTTAGCCGAACAAAAACGCTGGAATCCGCCAGCGAGTGTCTGTCGCGACTTCCTCTTTTCCTGGAGAGTTTCGATTAGGTGTTCTGGCGACTTCCAAGCTTGTATTTCGTCGTTGAGGGTTTAATTCAGTGTCACCCGTTCTTCCGTTCCTTTTTTTGAGAGCTCCTATCTCCATCTTTTCACTGTTTAGGGTTTAGGGCTTTGGTTAAGCGGGAGAAGTTGGATGGGAAAAACGATGATTTTTTTTTTTTTTTGTGTGGGGGAAATTTGGAGCTAATAAGAACTTAGTAATACTGAAGGACCATGTAAAATAATTGACCGTGTAAATAAAAGAAAGTTACAACAAGGAGCTAATAAAAATTACTAACTCAGTAGATGACATCCTATGGAAATTTGAGCTGCAACAAAAACTTTGTAATACTCAAACAAACAAAAACAGCAAAGCTAACAAGGCCGAAAGATCGAAGTATAGCATAGGGAGAAGCAAAGTCCATCATCGAGGGAAAAAACCAATGAAACTAAAGGAACCAAAACCTTCATATCTGTTAGAAAAAGTTGAGGAGGAGCCCTATAAACCAACCGCTACAAAAAAAGGAGTGAATGAAAAACCATCAAAAGAGAGAAGAAGCAGCAGCAACACCGCCTGGACTAAGACTATAATCAGTTGTATTGTCAGGTTGAGATCGGACAGCGTGTAATTCCCCTGGTTGCCACAGGAACCATCCAAGGGGAATGGACAGATATTCATCATCGTCCAGGGAAGAACGAAAAGCTCACCAGACTCAGATTTTGGAGTTGAATTCATCACATTTCCCTAAATCCAATACCAAACAAGAAACTTAAGAACATAGCAGTCGTCAGAAGTCCAACAAATCCATGAGTGAGGCCGGCAACTGATCACCCAAACGACCAATATTGAAGAGGAGCTAGAAGCACTTTGGCTAAATGTTATGTTGTTTCTTTCAATCAATATAAAATAAATGGCAGAGCAGGTAAGGAGCAAGAGAAAATCAATCAAAATAGCCAAATGGGTTGTTGGGTAAGTCGGAAATATGTTCAAATAGTTGGAGGATAGAAGGCGTGAAATAAAAGTTACCTACCAAGCCCAGTACAGAAAAAGAGTTGTTACATTTAAAGAAGATATGTGAAGCATTTTGAGGTTGATGTCGGCATAATAAAGAGCAATAAGAATTTACTTGTAAGCGAGAGAGCCTCCGCAGTTTTCAATCCCTCAACGTACGAATGCCATCCAAGCACATATATAAATCTGAAGTAAAATAAGAATTTACCTCACTGCTGCAAAAGAGCGATAGAATTGTCCCATTAATGCAATTTTGAGCAGGATCTTGTATGGGGGTACGTATCATAAAAACAGGATTTAGTTAGGCTATTGATGCCAACGTACTGGAAGGCACCAAATGTTATCTCTTCTAATAAGACTTGCAGTAGAAGCATTAGAGGGAAGGATGTGTGTGTGCGTGTGTGTGAGAGAGAGAGAGAGACAGAGAGAGGAGTATATGTTGCTCTGAGGGTCACTAGGTAATATTGGACTTGCTCCACTAGTGATCCCACAACAAGGATATGGTGGGACGAAGCAGTAACAACAAAGGAGAACTTATTCCTCACTTTTGCAGCAGTGAGGTAAAGGGATTTCCAGAGCTTGGAGATTTTTTGGGACTAATAAAAATTTAAAAATAAGAAATCATATTATTAATATTTTAGTTATATTATTATTATTATTAAAATAAAAGAAATATCATGTTTATAACTTTTTTTTTTTTGCATGGGCATTAAATGCAATTCATTAAAAAAATGATTTTACCAGGAAATTAAAAAAAATGCATATTTCGCATTATGAGTCTATATAAGAAATTATTAGTAATTTTTTCAAACCAAAAACAAATAAAAATAGAAAATACTTTTATATTTAACATACCAATCAAATAAGGAGGTGAAAACTAAATTCCATGCAAATATTTTGTTAAGTAGTTTTCAAATTCCTCATTTGGAGTTAAATTATGTAGATGCAAAATGAATGAAAACCAAGCTAGCATTTCTAAAGGATGTTTTTTACCTAAAAATAATCAACTAAGCTTTGGTTTATATATTTAGTAATTTGTAAGCGTATGCTAAAAGATTCATACCTCAAGAAATGGAAATATTTTATTTGCAATCATTCCAATTAACAACCTCTCACAATGACCACCAAACAATACTACTTTGAAGCATGCAAACAAATAATAATATTTGAATTCGGTAACAATTTCATTTAGAAAAATATGAAAATATTCACAAGTTAAGTGATGCCACAAAAGTAAAACATAATCTCTATGGAAAAAATTATTTTAAAGCCTTTTAAAATTACTTCATATTATTTATGCATTCAAGATCAATCATGATCAGCATGCATTGTATTAGAAACTAATTAAAGAGTCAAAAAATTTAACCGCATTTCATGGCATAATTATCCTACATAAGTCAAGGGGCAAATTAGGACCTGCTCTAGACATCAGTCTCAATTTCTCAAAACTTAAATAATAGGTCATCAATCTTTCATAAAAGATCAGACACATGATTTTAAATCACCTATGTGGTTAGCATGCTCCCAAATCTACGTTATGATAAGTCTAGTTTGTACTGCATTAGCTAGGTTCGGGTCACTATCGTTTAGTGCCCAAAATAGATCTAGAATTCAGGGCAGACCCAAAATCAAAAGATTGAATTCTCGTCTCGTAGAATCTCGTGTCCAATAAATTATAAATTGGAATGTCTCTTCAAACTAAGATTTAAAGCCCAACACATAGGATAAATAGAAGTGTTTCTAAAATATTTTAGAATATCAAAACACCTCATACCTTTCATCCTTTGGCTTCCAATAATAAGTGCACAAATTTGAACTAATCTCAATTGAAAATTCTAGCCTCACTCCCTTCGATATCACTCGATAATTCAAAAACAAAATTTTATCATTATTTTAATCAAGAATCTTCATAAGAAACTCGGGTTTCTTATAATGTAATTAACTATGAGGGCTTTGACTCTTAGGAGATTTAAAGACCCAAGATTAATTTTCAAAATTCAATTAATTCTCTTTGGGAAAATCAAAATCAACGATGATCATTATCGTCATATTCAAACCATGGATAATAAGTGATATTTCCTTTCCCTAGAGAGATATATCATTTATTAACATGTCTTTAAATATGAAATTAATAATACTTCATCTGGATTATTATGGTCAAATTATTCGAACGATTTTGACGCTTAAGGATCATATATAGTACTTTCTTGAATCTAATTATCATAATCATGATGAATTTTTACAGTTTTGTTGTTTGAACCCATTAGTGAATAATATTCTCGTCTCCTGAGGTGATATATCGCTCATAATGATGTGTTTGATTTAAAAATTGAAATTCTAGAAATTAAATTTTCCTTAAAAAAATTAATTCCAATTTACTTTGTCTATTTCTAAAGTAAAGCAAAGCTTTTTTTCAAACAAATAGTATGATGTCACTTGTAAGGATGATGCCAACTATCAATAATGACACTAATGCCCACCATCAACAATGATGTCAATGCACATCGTCAAGCATAATATTAATGTCCATCATTGCCAACAATACCGACACCCATCATCTCCAACAACATGGACACCCATCATCATCAATGTCAATTCATATCATTGCCGACAAGGCTAACACCGATCATCATCACCAATACAGATGCTTGGCATCACCATGATCATTAACACATAGCATCACTATCAAGACTAATGATAGCCATCATGATTTTTTTTCTCTTTTTATAAAGTGAATGGTTAAACATAGCTCCAAGCATCTATACCTGAACTAGAATAACCCTAACTATTTTGCCCATTTTAAGATTTTTAATATGAAAAAAGAGACTCCCTCAAACTTAAAGAAAATTTCTATAAAATTATGGTGATACCTACAATGCTTTATGATGCAGATGTTGGTCATTAAAAGAGAAGCATAATATTAAGTTTTGCAAAGAAGACAATGTTTAAGTGAATGAGTGAATTTACTCTTAGAGATAGGATACAAAATGAACATATATGTGAAAAGGTTGGAGTAACTCCTATAGAAGATAAGATTAGAAAGAGTTGTCTTAGATGACTTGATCACATAAAACAAAAGTCTTCTGATAACCTAATTAGGAAAATAAATATATATATAATTTGACTTATATTAAGAAAGGTAATGATAAACATAAAAAGATTTTTATTAGAAAATATTATAAATAACTTTTCTTTATTAAATTTAAATGAAAAATTGACTATTAACAAAACAATGAAAAAAAAATCATATAACCAAACTAACATAGAGAAATAAAGGTTAATATTGTTATAAGATTTTTAATACAAAAATCTCATCTCATGTAAACCGTTTACAACTACTTTATGTGCGCAAAACTTTTTTTTTTATTAGGGGAGGGTATTTAGGTCAATTAAGACATTCATACACACATTACATATTGATAATTAACTGCCACATAAAACTGGCCAAGTCTCTGCCGTGTCAAATACAAAACTCCGTCCAAAATAATTAATTCTCACATAACATACCTTACACATCAATCCAACGATCAGATCAATAAAACAGGAGCAACAAGAGACCACCGAGACCAGACTAAAAGGAGAAGCAATGAATTAGATGAAAAAAGTTGAGACAGCCAGAGAAGATAATTATCCCGAAAAACAAAAAGAAACATGAAGAGAATTATCCAGAAACAGGGCTGATCTAATAACAAAATTGAAGAGACTGAACCAAAACAAGACAGATCATTTTCTGATGTTTTCATGGTAATAATTTAAAGAGCTGTTCATAGAAAGATTGATTACATCAGAAACATAATTCTTTATAACCAGTAGTAACTTAATATGCTACATTGCAACATCTGGATCCAATCGTTTCTGGATAGCAGCTGCAGCCTGAGAAGGAGAAAGTTCAGGTTAGGTGAATCAAGCACAGAGTCGCTAGAAGCAGCACATATTTACCTCAAAATTTCCCAGTTTATATTGATATGCCATCTCTTCCCTCAGACGAGCTTGCTCCTTCATCGCTTGTGCCTTTTAAGAAAATACTAATTTAAAATTTCAATAGAAAAATATTAAATGAAAGTACTATATAACAAGATCTTCTTTTTATTAAACTTTAGTGACTGCTACATTTCAGGGAATTATGATGAGTAACAAATTAAGTATCACCATCGTACTAGAAAAGGGAGATGCAAAGGAAGCAATAAATCAAGTTTGGGAAAGCAAAGGAAGTATTGTATAACTCTTCTTTTTTTTTTTTTAAGTTGTATTATAACACATTTTCATCTAATTTCCACCTAATAAATGCTTGAAATCTTGATCTAAGTTTCAAAAATGAATTTTCATCACTTCCAACAGTTTCAAAGAAACTATCCCTGAGAGCTTACATCCATGCAAAAAAAAGTAAAGTTTCCTACCATTCCACTCTGCATGGAGCGTTTCAGTTCCTCCACTTTTTCTTCCTTCATCTTTTCGCGCTCCACCAATAACTCTCGTCTGCAAAAACACAACACAATAAGATGCACCAATGTTCCAGTAATTGAAAAACCAGATTGTAGTTAGTGCCAGCCGGTGAAAGCTATCACCACACTACCACAGTACAACAAAATGCTACCATATACAATTCGAGATTCTAAATCTAAATATTAAATAGACATGAAAAGAAACTGTCATCAGTTTAGAATCAAGAACCTAGAAAGATTTATAAGAAAGTCAAATGTCTATCACCTAACTAGGATGAACAGTAATGTATATTGGGGTAAAATTTAAAGGGGCTTGAAATAATATGTTTTTTTTTTAATATAACAGAGTACACAAAACAACGGCCCAACATAACAATTTTATATCAGTAGTTAATTATACGAGGCTTTATTTTCCATTAACAATTTTAATTAACATTTGCACTGCAGTACATACATTCCAAAAAAAAAAATCTAAAAACTTCTCATCAATTGTAAATAGCCAATCATTATGTGTTAGTTCAAATGAAACAGACCAAAAGTCACATGAACAAAGCAGAAGTTTCTTTGTCAAGAAATTCTATAAAATTGCCAAACAAAATCTAGTTACAGTAAAATGGTCAAACTTTTTAGCCCTGAAAGGTCTTAATAAGATGACCATAGGACAAAAAGACTAAAAATGGAACAAAATGGAGGACATTATCATCAGATGAATAGCATAGCTGATAACTGCATACCGGCGTTGTTCTTCATCATTAAAATTTGTACGTTCTGTTACAAGGACCTGCTTAAGGCTCTTCTTTTGCTCATTATCCATTTTTTGCCGATGATAAGCATCTAAATTATAGTACCTGCAATCAACAGAAAGTTTTATGAAATATTAAGCCTTTATAGCAAAGGGTATAGAAAATAAGAATGTGTAACTTCAATAATATCGTAAGAAAAAATAATGTAGAACCTTTTGTTAAAATAGAACATAAGTGCCTAGAATTTCATCAAAATTATGGCCAAAATCCTATGAAGAAATACGCAAATTTCATTACAGGAAGAATAATTCATTAAAAATGATAAATAGCATATAAAAGGGGAAAAAAGCATATAACCCGAGCATAAGAGTCCCATTTTTGCTGGTTTTGAAGAGCGGCTAATAAGAACAAACTTCATCACAAAAATATATATGGAAAAATGAAGAGCTAACTAGATACAAAGTAGCAAGGGATACATCCAATAGGTGCATAAAGACACCCAACTCAACTATGAACTATGCTACAAAGCAGAAGACAGGAGTAATGTCCCGGTGGATCTTCATGCAACTTGTATGCTCCATAAAGAGACAAGTTATGGGCCTAATTCACGTTTTCTGGTAACCCAATATTGATGGAATTGCCACCATGATTGCCTGCAGGTCACTCCTAATGAGCCTCCACCTCAAAATTGCTAGAATCATCACCTCAAATCATAATGGCATGTAATTAATCGGTTTGACACGCTTTGGCTGGCAAGCCCATAGTTTAAAATAAGAGAAACATTAGCCTAGTTAAGTAAATAAATCATCTGTTCAACCATCAGACACCAAAGTCAAGGATCAGAAAACGAAACATTAATAATTCTAAACAACATTACAAGTATAATTACTTATAATTTCTTCATTAAGAAAAAATGATGAGCAAATAACTAAAAGTTTTGCCTGGAAACTTTTTAAAAAAAATGACTCAAGAAAAAAGAAAACTATCTTTAGTATCAACAACTACTGCATGTTTACAATTGCACCATAATAATCGAATTTCATTGCTTAAGTATTTGAATTTATAATAAAATCCTATGTTAAAGCCCCATTAATCTATTTCACAATTTTAATAAATTAATTTTATTAAAAAAATAAAATCAAAGTGCGTGCAATTATGAGATATTCTTATTTAAATCTTGGTTAATACATCTAATGAAGGATAAGTTTTTTTAAAACTAGATTTTTCACTAAGCTGTTGCTGATTACTAGTGCCATTTCCTTTAGATGCATTAGGTGCGGCAGTTTGAGTTTTGATTATTTTGATGAAAATATGCATTTTCAGTACAAATATTAACTCTTTCTGGTGCAAGAAATTGTAATATTTGCTCAAAACCTTATGCAGGTTTAAAAGCATGCTCAAAGAGGAAATGAGAAGTGCTTTCATCCCTCTTTTTATGTTAGGTTTTAATACAAATCTAAATCTAAAAAACATTGTTTTAAGATCTTCCATTATTTCTAAACACAATAGCAATTCCTCAAATTCGATCATGTATTTCAATGAGTTATATTCAAAAAGAAATCAATCATGATTATATTAATTTTTTAGTTATGGCAGTATTTATCCTATGTCTTGAACTCTTAGTATTCTTTTTATTTTTGTGATTATTGTATTTTTTCAAATGGCACACAGTGCACCATGCATTATATCTCCAGAAAACCATTACGGCATAATGCACTATTACTTGTTGCAACTATGAGTAATTGTCATGTAAGCTCATTAAAATGTTCATTGTTTTTTTTTTTAAATGTTTATTACCTATTTTGTATATCTTTTGCACTCTTTCTCCACTCCATCTCTTCCACAAAATTATTGATGCATTTTTATTTTTTGTAGATTGTTACAACCTAGCGTGCATGTACTTTTTTTAGTGTGCATGAACATAATTTCCCTTCCAGCATTAATATTGTCAAATTTTTTAAGATGCAATTATGTTATTTGATCAAGGCACATTAGAGCTTTTAGTAGTCATTGTTATTATTAATATTAGTGAAGTTAATCATGATGTGTTTTACTACCACTTTTCTTCCACTGGTAGCATCCAAATATACTATGAATACTCTAATTAGATGCATATATTAAATACGAATCTATGGTTCCATGATTTTCTGTGTATTATCACCATTCTGATCTTTTTGAGAGACATAGCTACCATTACCCTTTGAAAGACAATTCTTTGTGCCCAAGAGAATTTGTGCACGCTATCAAAAGCATCCACGAGTTCTTCTTGGACAATTGTTGTTTAGCTTCTACCAACAATTTCAACCACTATCAAAAGACCTTTTTAACTTTAACTTGCATTTTTATTTAAGGTTATCATTTTATGGTTGCCACGTACTCAAGGACAAGTCGTATTTTTTATATAATTCTACAAAAGGATCATCTTATGGCAATTTGTAACTAGATTTTGATAAACTAAAAAATTGCATATTAAGATAGTGGAATTTTCAGCCTCCACATCATGTGCTTTGTGGATTGAGCATAACCAACTTTGATGATTCAATAATTAAAGTACTATAAGGATTCAACAGAAAATAGCTTGAGAATTCATTGAAGAACTGTGCGAACTTATTGCTCTCTATCTCCCCTAACCCCTCTTAAGATAGCTTTTAATTTATTTTTAAGATTTTTCTATTCTAATGCCTGTCTAACATCAATTTAGTATTGGAGCACATCTTCTTAAATGTACGAAGAATTAGATGCCCCCTCAGTTCTCTTCGTGATCAACAAACTTAGGCCAAATCAGTATTCAGCCAAAGTTTATAATTAAATCATAGGTTCTTGATATGCACCAATAACAATATAATTAGATCATAAGCTTTAATGTCTTGATTACAACATCCGCTTCATCTCATGTTTTGGAGCAGTTGGTTGCAGTAATTGGTACTAACTAAATTGGCATCACAGTTCAAGTCAATTGAATCACATGGTTTCATACCTAGAGAGGATGAGAAACACAAGATGTAATGGGGAGGCATCCCATGGTGCTCCATGTCAATTATTAGGCATAGCTTGGCCCTGCACATGCGGACAAGGTCAATGCCTTTGCTAGTGAACCAATCTATGTGCGACTAGAACATTCTATATAAGGCTTTGATTGTACTTTCTTCATCAACTAAGATTCATTGAGCAGTAGATTGCACTTAGTGATCCTGTATTACTTCATAGCAAAGCTTAAGTCATAGTTTCAAAAACTAGACTTATTCCAAAAGGGAGATGACCCGCCCAAAACAGTGAAGGGATGTGGGTCCTACTGGTTTGTGAGTTCACATACTGTCGGAGCTGCATTTGAAAAATGTTGCTGGTGCACTCCTGGCCGCTAGTGACTGACATATGGATGTGTGGTTGGACCATTGACAATAAAGATAAGTTGTTGTTTGGGGTGGAAATAAACCACACAACAAAACAAAAAGAAAAAAATGGAATGTAGCAGAAAGTAAAGGACAACAGGATTTAACATGAAAAAGCCTGAAATTGGGAAAAACACCATAGAACCACACATAGTGAGAAATCCACTATAAAAATTGAGAGGAAAAAGTACAAATCTCTCTTCACTCTCACTCTATCCTTCTAACTTAGAGCGTTCTAACACACTAAACAAAAGAGAAAAGCCTATATATACCACCGATGGATGCTATAGTTGAGAAATAAAAGAAGGAAAAAATGTCCAATCCGAATCAAAGTGTTGTGGCGCCAATTCGAAGCGTTGCGGCGTTCAACACTGTCTCCAGTCCGCCTGACAGCACTGCGACGCTGAATTTAGAGCATTTCAGCACTCCACACTATATTTTCTTTCAGCACTCCACTTTGTCTTTTCTTTCAGCAAACTTTTACAGCGCCAGAGCACTCAGGTACACAATGTTAGGGTGTTGTAAGAGGAAAAAAAACTTAGGGTGCAAAGCAGCCGAACCCAAGCAAGGGAAGGACTCCTGCCCGGCCCCCCAGCAAACATGAAAAATTGACTTGAGATCTGAGGCAATTGTACAATCTAATTGATCAACACAATCAGATTCCACTTAGACTAACAGTTGTGTCTTCTCCATTAGCTGGGACCTTTGAAATATGTTAGTTGTGTTGAGTGTTTCTATGTGAATCATAGTGTAAACATTTCCAACTTAGAAATTAGAATATTACAAAAGAAAACATTATATATAGGATAAATTTAAGGGATGAAGGACAAAAAATAAATAATTTCTTTTTTAGCATGGTACTAGAGTGAAAACTTTTTTATTGTGAATTGTCTTTATAGAATTTAGGAATTTAAAAGGTGGTTGTTCAATTATTCCTAAAATTTTGAAGCTAGATTAACATTTACAATTCTTCAGAATCAAAGATACAAACCATTTATTTGCAAAAAAGGACTAAATAGCTTAAACAACAACATACTGGTGACATGCTACCGCTATATGGAAAAATGTGAGCCTATACTTTTTCAGCATATCAAATGTCACCACTAGAATCAGGCCTCACAACCTCAGAGATATGCACTAGCTTATGGAAGAACTTTTTGATTTAGATACTTCCCATTGAAGTTGCAATGATATTCAACTACAGAGTTAGTATTCTTACCCTAACATAATCGCACAACCGCATAGCTGACATAAGAAGCATATAAAGCATGGAACAAACAATTTAAGTTTCATGCAAAGCCTTACTTCTTCGATGGAAATGTGGCTGTATTATGATCCTCCATGAATCTGCTCATGAAAAGAATATAAAGCAGAAATTATAATGTGATAAAGAAGAGCGATTCACAAAGAACTACAAGCCCTTCATGTTTTGCCCAAAACATTAGTAGAATAGGCGAAGCACAGCTGAGGCCATCCCAAAGCAAATCGATGGTTGAATAACTTACTGTTTATACATCTGTTTCTCCTCCCAGTTTGGCAAGGTCTCCAAATTAACCTGTATTCAGAATGGAAAGTAATTACAATGTTTTGATAACAACATGGTTGCTTCTTAGTTTAAGTAATAATAATGAGATCAAATAGACTTAATGAAAATTCTTAAATGGTTGGTACATAGACATACTTGTAGCAATAATGAGAGACAGAGTGACAGAGACAAGTGTGGGAGAGTCTAAAAGAGAAGATTTAGAGGAATGAAACTGAGAAAAGGTAAAGAAAGATTCAAAAGAAAAAAAGAGAGCGAATCCTTCAACAGAACAAAAAAGGACGTTATGGAGTAAGGTTGTTCAAATAAAGTCATGAATACCTACTTTAATCATGGCATCTGACAATTTTAATTCATGTTATAAAATATTAAATTTTTTTATTTCTTTTAATTATCATTAATATGCATTTATTGAGGAATGACACTCACTTAGCTATTATGTTCAAGTAATTTTAGTATTTATTTGTGTAGAAGATTTTCAGTGATCTAATTTGTCCATTATCATGTTATGGTAGCTTAATTTGGAATTTATAAACATGACTACCAAAGTACTTTGTTTGGAAGCACTCATATGATAGTTATGTTAGTTTTTTTAAAGGAAATATTACCGTGAATCATATTTAATTTAGTAATTAATTATATGTGGGAGTGACTGGACGAATTCAAGAAGTATGCCAATATTTGGAATGGAGCCAAAGTTATACCATTAAGCTTTGGCAATGACAGATAGTTCGAATAATAAGAAATTCTGTTTTTTTTTTTTTTTTTTTTTTTTGTAGAAATGTTTGTTTTTCTTCAGCCTGCATAAAGCTGGAATTTGCACCTTGGATTAGGTTCTAGTGCAAAGGGCAGGTAGGTGGTTATTCTGAGCATGAAATGCGAGATCATGTTTCAAGTTTATTTTATGTTAAACGTTTAGATATCAGTATTTTGTCTAAGTGATAGCTAAGAGCCTCCTGTGGTTCAGCAATCGTATTGTTGGATAGACATGTTCATTTTGGTGAATCAAACTAGTCCAAGTATGTGGCAACAAGCTTAACATATTGATATAAAAGGTACAAAGTTTTGTGGCATCATTCAGCATTTTTCATCATGAAGTTGGACTCATGAAACTGGACATCAATGAGAGAACTCTTGTTATGGATGAGTCACATTATGGGATAGACATGGTTTAAAATTGCGCAACAAGAGGCACGCATCGCAATTCAGACCTTTTGCGTGTCAACGTGAACGTCTTGTACTTCATATGCGAGGCGTATGCCTCAAATAAACAGAGGCGCCCCTCAAGGCGCGCCTCGCCTCACTTCAACTAGGTGTTCGCCTCTTAAAAAGCTATTATTAAAAAAAAACTAAACCTAATATTTGTATTCTAATTTCTTCGTATTCGACTTCGCGTGTTACTCGACTTTGCTTGGGCACTTCAAATTTCAGCTACCATCGCGCTCTTCGACTTCGCCTACGTGCGTTCGTGCTCTTCAACTTCGCCTGCATTTGTGTTCTGCAACTTTGCCTGGAGTTCAGTTGCCTTCCTCTTCTTCATCTTCCTCCTCTTCGACTTTGCCTAAGCATCGCAAGTTAGGTTTAGGATGTGCTATTAAAGCTTCATTGTCTTCTTCAATGACGTTCTAAAACCTCCATTGTCTTCTTCTTCGAATGTTCGTAAGTGGAGGGTCTGGATCAGAAGTTCGGAAAGTTTAGGGCTTTCGTACGACAGTTTCTCTCCTTTTTTTGTATCTTTCTTATCTTTTTCTCATATTTTTTGTATGAACAAATATACTAAATCATTTTCATGCGAGATATACTTCTAAATTACAACAAAGAAGATAATTTATTATAGGGATATTTCAATAGCGATAACTATAGAGCTTTTGATTCCTCCAATGTTATGGAAAGAATGATGGAATAAAGATTAGGAAAATCACATTGATACAACGGGATCAATTTGCTTCTATACTACAAAGATGATAGAGAAACTTTTTGAGTTAAGAAATTAATGAAATTTACATTGAGCAAGGGAAATATCTTTATATGCTTTTTATTGACCTTGTAAGGAAATGATCAAGTATTATGAGAATTAGATTAGGTGGGTGACCAGGAGAAAATGCATCTGTCCAAATTATGTTGGATTATTAACGACATCTACGTTGGAGTCTTGTCGAATGAATAGCTCGGGAGCAATTAAATGCTTCCAAGAACTATAAGTTATGTGAATTTTCATCTGAGTTGTTATGTCATTGCTATTTATTTTTTGAATTACATGTTAATGAATAGGATATTGGGTTTTGGGAAAAATAGAATTTTGAGTTGAACTATATTTTATGTTGTCTTATTATTGTGATGTTTGGATTTCAATTTAATTTCAAACAACTTATTATTTGACACTTCATATATTGTGATTTTTATGTTTTATATATTATATATATAACAACTTATTTCTTATGTCAAATTTTAATATATTATTAGATTAGTATACAAAAAATTTGTCATTTTGACTTTACACAATTTTTGAATTTTGAGGCTTACGCCTTGTCTCACGAAAGAAAAATACCTCAATACCCAATTGCGCAATTTTAAACCTCGGGGATAGACATAAACATTTGTAGGGACTAGGGAGAGTGGCGTTCAATTATATGGGCTGACAGCATTAGCTTCCTGGATCTTAGTGGTGAAGCATTGGTTTGTGCCAAAATGTGTTATGCACATGTTGATCTCTCTCTATGTTCGCCCAACTTGGACACATGATCGAGTTGCAATTTGAGTCAATCAATCCGGTCAACAATCCTGTAGAGGCTTCCAAATTTAATAGTGGACCAACAAGCCGTCGCCTATTCAAAAATTCTCTTTTGTGTCACCCTAAATCTCAAGGGAAATGCTAAATCAAAGTTGTATTTGGAAAAGAACTTACAAAGTTGTAGTACAGGAAGAAAAAGTTATCTATGTCAATAAGTGCAGCTCCGCCCACCTGTAAATCAACCTAGCCCAATGCTAGTCTCGGCAATAGATTTAAGTGAGTGGAGTGCCCACACTACAATTTGGGTCAATCAATTTGATCTGCAATCATGAAGGGGCATCCAAATTGATAACTTTAGGAGTAGTTGTGGACCAAAAAGCCATCACCTAAGCCAAAATTATTTTTTGTGTCACCCAAAATCTCAAGGGACAAGCCAAATTAAAGTTGTATTTGAACAGAGCTTACGAAGTCGTAGCATAGAGACACGAAGTTATCTATGTCAATACGTGCAACTCTGTTCACCTGTGAATCAATCCATCTTTTCCCTTAAATATGGGTGGTGCTAAGGTAGAATAAGAATAAGAGGAAAAGCATCAAAGAAGACAATAAGCTCTGAAATCATATTATGCACATCAAAAATAACAAACTCAAGCCTAACTATCCTGTTTTTGCATTGAGGAAGCCTCTAGCACCTATTTTCATTCTTATTTTGCTACTCTTGTAAGGTATCTTTGATCATGCATGTCAGCATCAATGTAATCCAAAAATGAGAGAGAATTTTCAATTAAGGCAAGCCGCGAGATAGGCACTAAATACCCAATGTATAGTAGCAGCAACTTTAGGGATTTTAAAATTAGATTTTTGGGGGATTTTAAGATTTGAAATTTATAGCCATAAATTTAAAACGAGTGGTGGTGGGAATGATGATGAGCCTAATCAAGATCCCATGATTCCGTAGTCCCGACCTATTATGGTCTCTAATCTACTTAGTCAAAGGAGGTAGTTGACCCAACCGAATAGAAGGAATCTAATCGACAATCATAAGTTGCTTCGTCCAAGAATACATTTTATAGAACTGGGGTGAATGTTTGTTTAAGGTGGTGAATTTAAGTCAACCTTAGATGACAGGGAGCTTTATATTTTGTAGAGTTCAGCCTATAATTCATTACTCAAGGGGTTTTTAAACCATTAGGAAACATCCGAGCTTTGGTCGCGACTGTAATATAATGGTGTGTTGACCTCAAAGACAAAAAAAAAGAAGAGAAAAGAAAATCCACATCATACCTCTAGAATCCACAAAACCCGCCGAATTCTCACCGAGGTTCCGCCCAAAAATCCCGCAAAATCCTGTAGCTCAGCACCGCTCATGTCTCGATCGGAAAATCCTGCCTAAATCCCGCGACCTGCCTCGCAGAACGATCCCGATCGTTGTTAAATACCAGAGCAAATGGAGCCTTCGGCTGCTGCTTCCTTCTGTTCGATCCCACACGAAATCCTCTTCCTCTCCACCTTCCGTCGCTGCCTCCCGAGCCTCACAGAGAGAGAGAGAGAGAGAGAGAGAGAGAGAGAGAGAGAGAGAGAGAGAGTGCCGAACCTACCTGAGCCGACCCTTCTCCGCCTCCTCTATCTGTCGTTGCTTCCGATCCAGAAAGAAAGAAGAGAGATAGAGAGAGAAGCCAAACCCGACACCTATAAGCCCTATCCGTCTCTGCCCTTACCCGAACTTCTCCTTCCCTCTCTGCCTTGGCCGCAAGATCCATCTCTGCCCGATCCATTTGCTATCAATAACAGTAAGTTAGGGATTGGGATTATGTTATTTCAAATATTAGTGATAGTTGTTATCATTAATGTTAGTTAAATTATTGAAATTTCTCTTATTACTATTATCTTTAAATTAATTTTAGTTAATCGAATTTAATAATGATTAATTATTTTGATAATAATTAATTATAATTATTATTTTAATTATAATTAATTATTTTAATCTAATTAATTACTAATCACGAATGAGTATAGAAGACATGTCTACAATCAAATACATGAAAAATGGTGAAAGAGATATCATGACCGTAGCACATTCAAGTTATCTACCAATTGTTGTGATAAAGACACTACAACAACTCAATGGTCAATAATTATTCAACATCAGTCAAATGCACCAGTCCTCTATAAGCAAGGATAAAAATATCTACAACACATACGATCTTTCTACAAAGACAGATGTATGTGTCACATGCCACTAATGGGTAGATGCAGAAAGACTTCAGTAAGTGCAGTATCC